AGTGTAATGAATAAGATTTTAACAATTTTAACTTCGTTTTCTTCCTTAACAAGTCCGTACATGTTTAACCCCATTTTTTTTTTCTAATTTATAGTCTTTAGTTTCAATGTTTTTTTTATCAGTAGTTGGTTCCCAGAGTCTGATGCACATGGCTCTTATGTATAAATAAGCTGGCAATTTAAACTTGCAGTTTCAATGATTTTCTTTTGAGGATTCGTCCTGGTGCTTCTGTGTTAGCTAGCTCAAAATGTCTTAAAGTGTCTGGTTGGGAGTGATTTTGAGAATTGGTTTTTTGATCGTTAGGAAAAAGTGGGGTCTATCTGTGAGAGAAGAAGTCAAATATGACGGTTGGAATAGTGAAATAACGGTCAAAAAATTAATTTTTTGGAAGGAAAAATCGATCTCAAACTGGCCTCCAGTATGTTGCTATTTTTTATTTTTATTTTTTTCATGCCCTATCTCGTGTAAATAAGCAACTTATAAGTAGTTTCCATATTGATTTTCTTTTGTTCATTCATCCTTGTATTGCTAAAATCAACTTTTGGGACAAAATGATCAATTAGGCATCTGGCCAAAATTGAAAAGCGTCTTATCTATTGCTGAATAAATGAATAATAATTGTGATTCTGAAGAAGTATGTGATTAAAATTAAAGTTTAATTCTGACATTTAAATTATAATTATGTGATTATAGTCCCTATACATTGACAAGGGAAAGAAGCTAATTATATGGTCAATACGCACATCATGTAGAATTCATTATTTAAAAATAAGCAGATTTTAGGCTAGGTTCCTTGTGTAACACTAACCACGGAAAGAAGCAAACTCCATGCATCCTAATATCCATCGTTGACGATTATGCAAAATTTATTTATTGTTTAACAAAGCTTTTTTAAATTATAAGTTTGAGGGGTTCCACAAACTATGTGGTTAAAAGTGGATAAAAATTATAGGTCCAATAAAAGGTGTACCTAAAAATAAAATTATACCGACTTATAATTTTAAAATTCTCTATTAAGCAAGAACTTAGATCTAATTTCCTTATGCAACTCATCTAGTAGTCATCGTTCACGGTTAGGCAAAGTTTTAACTCGATTATCTTGCTTATTAAGTGACTAAGAAAAGAAAAACGATGATGTGTATCAGAAGAGCACATCCAATAGTAAAATTGTTTCAACGTTATTCAACTCCAAGCTAATGTTTGGTATATATATTCTTTAAAATTTATTTTTAACTACACATTCTTTCGATAAAATAATTTTGCACATAAACCCATAAATTTTTTCTAATTTTTAGACATTCGAAAAAAATAACCACTTTTCATGAAATCTATACCTCAAAAATCTATGTCAAAATATGCTCTAACAAGTTGCTATATACTCTTTCTCTCTACCATCATCTCCTCTTTAGTCTTTGCATATGTCCCACCAAACAATTGACTCTCGACCCAACTAAGGTTCTTTTGTGATAAGAAAAAGGCAAAAGACAAAATACATACACATAAGGTCATGGATTAAAGGATTAGAATCCTATGCTATTTGAATAGCACAAATAAATAATACATGTACATTGAACCCCTTAGTTCCAATTTTATTCTTATTTATTTATTTATTTTTTTTAGAATAAGAGTAACCAAATTGTTAATAAAAATAATAATTCGAGAGCAAATCAATAATCGAGAATAAATCTTTGATCATTTTCTTCTTAATCAATGGAAAAAATCTAGCTAAATAGATTAAAAGATATGTGACGACAAAAGATAGATTAATATTAAAAATCACATTGATCACTCTTTTCAAGTAAATCGATTTAATGATGTCTTTATATATTATAAAGATTTAGGTGAACTTACCCTTATCACTAGTTAAAGTTAACACTCAACTTGCCCCCATTCATTATTATATATATGGGATTTGCATCTTTTGAAATTGATATAATTTACAATTATCGGTGTCCAATTTGGGTAAAGAAGAAGGATTGCAATAATTGATGGCGGACATAAATTATTATCAAATTTTATTCCATGAATTCTATTACACGTATATAATCCAATTTAATCAATGCTATAATAAAGATATGCAAACGATATTATGAACTCTAAACTTTAAATATTAGCAGATAGTTCCTAGAACTTGATAGTTGATCAAAATTCAGGGTTTAATCATAATTTCACCAATTTCGAAAAAAAGAAATTTGCGTCGAATGTTCTCAACCTTTCAAAATTGGGTAGCGTGATCCTATATCTATAATAATTGTGTGCCGAAAAATCCTGAACGATTTGAACGTCAATTGACAAAAATATTTATCTTTCTCAATGCAAAACCCATGTATATTATATAAAAGAAGAGTGCCCCCAAGGCATAGCTCAGTGGTGCAAAGGACATGAGTGAGATTATCTCACGCCTTGCTGGCAGTTACAGTGTGGGGTTCGATTCCTGAGATATGGAATTAGACTCTTTGTAGGCGTAGTGTACAGGCAGCTCTTGTTTCTTGACCTACTGAGGTACATCCCACAATTTACCTCCCTCACAAAACTCTAGAAAAGGAGTAATGGAGGCTTTTAAGGTTGGAGTTCAACCTCTTTTTTCTTTTTTCTTTTTTTAAAGAAGAGTGTTTACTTTTACGAGTACATAGTGATAAGAGTAAGTTCACCTAATGATTCCAAATGTTCCATTGTTCAATAAACATAAGTACCCTCGTGATTGGGCCATTTAGAAGGGAATTGTATTCAAACACGTTTGTAAGACTGCAAACTTTAGTTGTCATGTGTCTGATTTTGGATAAGTTGATAATGTCTTGCAATTATTGGAGACAACACATGAGATAGGAATAGTTGAGTTTGAAAATGCACTCATGGTTTATGTTCTAAAAGGTCAAAGCATAAGAGAGACGATAAGATCGAGTTTCAAATTTTACGGTTTAAGTACTCGTCTGACTCACTTTAAAATTTTAATATATTTTTTTCTCTCTTTTTTTCAATCACATTTTTCAATTAAATAATATTATACATAGATAAAAAAAATTATTCATTTTTAACTACACATTCTTCAAAAAAATTAATATTACATAATACATTTTACCAAAATTTCTCTTTATAATAGGTGTCAAACAAGTGCTAAATGTATCTAGATGAAGTACAAGAGTATTAAGGAGATTTTTTTTAAATCAATAATAATTTATTTTATTTAATTAAATAATTTAACTCGTAAATAAATAAAAAATAATAAGGCGCACATTTTGAGTTTTGACGCCTCGCATTAATCAATTTTTTGCTACCAAGGCGCATTATAGGCACTTAGGCAGTCAAAATAGGAATGAGCCCTCGTGTTTTTTCTATATGCTTTATGCTCAGTATCTGCTTTTCAGAAAACTAATATTTGTATCATTTTCTCATATTTAATGTTCATATATTTTTAATTTATTTACAAGGATATGAGTATAGAATAAA